TTAAGCATTTTTGTACAAAAGATTTTATTGACAAAATTGCAGATAAATTACATAGTAAAATTGTAAAATTGTATCAGTACGGAAGCCAAATTAAATGTACTAAATGTTATAAGGAATTTTTGGATGCAGATGTGAGCTTAGCGATGCTGAAATGAGAAATGTTTCCACTGCGTCGCACAAGCAACAAAAATCCAAAGCTATTTCATAATAATTTATATAATACTGTGCAAAAAGATGTTGTTGACAAAATTGCACTTAAAATACAAATTGAAAATCTAATGAAAACTCATGGAAAAATCGCCGAATGTTGGCAAGTGGAAACACAGCAAAAGGGTTGCCTGACAGCAGTGCCAAAGGAATGAGCATTTTCGGGTGCGCTTCATTTAATTTTATTTGTCTCAAAATGTGGGGCGTCAATTTCAGCTGTGTGATGGTGTGTGTGTGTGTGTAGGAGACTATGTGCGTAGGAGTGTGCGTGTGTGTGTGTGTGTGTGTGTGGGTGTTCTCTTTGAGTGTGACTTTTGTTTAGTTGTCTGTCTGTTGGCATTTATTTTATTTGCCGTTTCAATTGTGAGCTGATGCTGGAAGTGGCTGTCGGGTATTAGGTCTAAATGGGGTATTACAACATTTTAACAACAACAACAACAACGACAACAACAACGACAATAACAATAACAAAAATAATAAGAATAAAAACAACAACAACTGCTTTTGTATGATATGAGTGCTGGTGTTTGGTGGTTGTGTTGTCAAGTGTAGCAAGCAGTTGGGTGGGGTTTTGGGGCACGTTGCACAAATTAAACCCGAATGAAAATTAAACGATGCATGAAATTACTTTGCTGCTTCTTCGCTCTGAGTTTCTTTATTTTTTTGCTGCTACTGCTCCGGCTCAACTTTTTCCTTGGCTTTGCCTGGCAAGAATTCGTCGTCGCCTCTTTTAATTTTTAATGTGCAGTCAGTTGTTGTTGCTGCTGCTGCTGCTGCCGTCGTTCACTTGAAGCGTTTTTTGTGCCACACTCGTGTCGAGTCGGAGACGCAGGAGGCGTGGACTGGATAACAGCAGAAGGATACACGCCATTTACGCAGAGCTAGCACTGCACTGAAAAGAAAAAGAAAAAAAAAACAACGGGCAAATACGCAAAAAGAGACGCCAAACAGCCAAGCCAATTTATAAAGTCAAATGTCAGCTAACTGCAATTAAGGCGCATTTAGCTGAAGGCTGCCCGGTGGCAGGAAACAAACGTGCCACCTGTCCGCCCTTGACTTCAACGAAGGTCTGCTGAAGGCAAGAAGATATCAGATGTAGATAGAAGTTGAAGATCTTTCTGGATCATTGGCCAGATTGTCGTCACATGTACATTATGCCTTATTATTTATTCAAACTTATTTTTTTTTGTTATGTTGGTTTTCAAATATAAAATAGAATAGAAACTTGATATTTTCATAGTCTAATACATTTAAAAAAATTGTTCCATATCAAACATTCCGTTGCTTTATTTAGCGATTCTCTTCTGAAAAGGCTAATTTATTTAATCATACAATATAATTTTATCTTCGCCAAATATTTAAAGGAGTATTTTAAAGGTTAAAAGGAAAGAAATGAGACTTAGTATTTCTTTGTCTAATAAATTTAGAAATTCATTTTAGAATATAAAATATTCCTTTGCGTTGAAAATTTAATTCGTGTGTGAAAGGGTAAGCTCTTAACTTTTATTATTAATACGTATATTTTTGACTTTTAAATGTAAAATAGATAGAAAAGAAACTTCGTAGTAAATTTTAGCATAAATTATTCCACATTAAATATTCCATTGCATTGTCAAACTTTGGACACCTCATAAATGAAATCTAAATTTGGAGAAAGAGCGCAACCACATAATAATAATAATAATATATGTACATACATACATACATATGTATGTTTAAGTGGCGAAACCTTTTCGCAGTAGGCCACAATTTATGGCGGGGAAGTATGCAAATGAGCAATGGCCTGATATTGTAGTCCTGTCTGATGGCTCCTCGTCATCCTTTCTGCTCAAGTGACACAAATCTTGTGCTTATTAGCACATTTTATTGCCTATTTTAACCACTTTTTTTGTTATGCGGCACTTTCTTTTTGTCAGCGCCAACAAAAGTGAATCATGAAATCAAACCAAACGAGAGACTCGCATAATATAAACGGAAATGAATTTATAATGTACGACTTTCTTTGCTGTTTATCCTTTTCTTATACAGATACAGATATATAAATATATATATATATATTTTTGCTGTTATACTTTATGATGTGGGCCATAAATATGTTGGCCAAAATACACACACACACGCAGGCAGCAGAAAAACGCGCATACAACTGACTCATTTTGTGGTTGGCATCTTTTTTTTTGTAGCAATTGTCTGGCTGGCAACTTTCTTTTTTATATGCTTTATAGAAATCGCGACAGCGATTCCGATTCAGATGTGTGCTTTTGAGTATCTGATGAGTTGACTTTATGTCTGAGTGTGTGTGTGTGTGTGTGCGCTTGGGTGTGTGTGCCAAGCCAACATGGCTGTGGGTTGAACGTGTGACAGCTCAATATATTTGCCATTTGTCGCCGTAGCAAGGTGTAGTCGCTGGAACTGTCGCTCTGCGGTTGCCGCATGTTGCAAAACTGTTGAGCGCTGGCACAAAGCAAAGCACACAGTGTGTGGCACACTGAGGAAAAAAAACAGCACTCTGAATTTTATAAATTCAGTTAGGGTAACTCACCTTACTTTACAGAAAATATGTTTCTCATAATCAGGGTTTTATTTTCTTACTTTTGGACCACATTTTTAAAAAAATAGAAAAATGATCTGATTTTAATTAGTAATTTTTAGAATTTTTTTTTCTTAAATGTAGACAATCTTTCTACTTTTCTGCCGATTTGCTCAAATTACTGACGATTTTTTTTAGTGTTGCAGCAGCAGCAAGGAGCTGTGTACCAGTGTCAGTGGAAGCCACATCGACATCCACATTCGCATGTGGGCGCGTCCAAGTCTCAACTCCTTCATATGTTGTTCTTGCTGTTGTTGTCCTTGTTGTTGTTGTCGTTTGTTGTTGTCGTCGTTGTTATTGTAGTAGAAATGCAGGAAAATCAATTTCGTTCTCCATTTGCAGTTGGCAATTTGCATAATAAGGTCGTTTGGCGCAATTTGCATGTGAATGTGATAAATTCAACGGGTGGCGTTTTGCCGCACGCGGCGTATACGTTACACACATACACAGACACACAGTCACACACATGTGTGAATGTAATATGTGTGTGTGTTTGTTTTTTGTGCGCCTTTTCAACTTTCCCCCATTGGCTTTTTCACCTTTGACACACACTCGCAAGGGGGGACTGGGGACTGGGGACTTTGAGAAATGAAAAGTGTAGCGGTATATTAAATAAGTAGGTGTGCCCGTGTCACGGCAATGCTGACTGCTAACGACCAACTTGCAACTGCCAACTGCCAACTGCCAACTGGCAACTTGCAACTACCACAATTGGTGGCAAGTCTTGGCTTTGGCTCTTTACGGTCAACTGCTGCGGCAATTGCAATTGCCGTGCAATCATAAAAACGTGAAAATTCAACGCGCCAAAATGTCGTAAAAGCAAATATGAGAATTTTTGTGATTTAAACGCTTTGACGTTGCACATTTTGGATGGGTGGGCGACTATTTGGCTAGTATTTGGAGCCAGACCATTTTTGAATTGTGGACTGCAGTAACGTTTGTCCACTCAACGGATTTTGCGGCTGTAGGCCATTTTTTGTACGCTCAGCCGATTTGTACTATTGCCGCTTTCAAATGCAGCAGCAGCAGGAGCGGTTCAGGCTGGCGGGGATGAGGCCGGGGCCTGCTAGGCCGGAGCTGTGGGCAAAACAGTAGCTGCATATGCAGTCATCCAAGCATAATTCATGTGACAGCCGGCAGTGAAGTTTTCTTTTTATATTCTGTTTTAAGTTTTTTGTTTTTTGGTTTGTTTGATGCCCGACTGCACTTCCTATTTTACATGCAAAATATGGCAAAAGGCTGACAGTTCTTTTTGTTAGTTTTTGTTGTTTTTAGCTTTTTGGATTTAGGGGCGCTTAGCCCATAACTGGTAAGAGTATTAAAAATATGCATGCGCTCAAAAATCGATTGAATTTTCCGTGCTGCACATAGTAATTTTTAATACGCGCTTTAGGTAAAAATACATAACATGTAGTGGAAAATATGGGAAATTAAGAAGAACAGTCTTTCAGCAAGTTTAATTGATGATGGATGATATCAGATATTCGTTGGACGATCTGAAATGTTTTGGGAAATAAATTGATGTAGTTATATAATAAGCTGAGCCATAATTGAATTCATTAATAAGTATTAAGTACTAGGTATATGCATGCAAGGACTAAGTAGTATAATTTTTACGCTGCGCCTCGAATTCATATTCAATACGTGAAGTGTATATAAAAAATAGGAAATTAATTGATATAGTTGTATAAAAATCTATTGCAAATTCAATTCATTCATTAATAATAAGATATCCCCAAATTAGTTGGGTATTTTAAATTAAATGCAGCGCTCACATGACATGTGAGCTTAATAATACATCCTGATGATGATAGCATTTGAAATTGGAGATGTGCAAAAAAGCGTCTGACCAAAGAATATTCCCCTCTCTCTTTCTATGCGGCATTGCAGGAGGGCAAAGAAAAAAAAAGAAGAAAAATGTGTGGCACGTTCTGGGGCAGCTAATGCATGCAGCTAACATGGCTGGCACTAAAAGTTAACATTTTGCCACAAAAAAGCAAACCATAAACCCAAACTTAGTTACCTTGCTGAGAGAGAGAGAGAGACAACAAAAAATGAGGAACACAAACTTTATGGGCAGACAATGCAGTGAGGGAAAAAACAATTGAAAGCTGGCAACTAAAACTAAATGGCTTGCATTTAAAATGGTTCATAGTCAGAGTAATGCTTACGTTTCCGTTTTCACTCTATGCACTAATTGCAGATATAACCAGCTCGCTGACAATGACCGAGGTGAAGATACCCAATCACATAATGCGACTGAAGAGCGCCCTGCTCGGCTGTCGCTATGCCCTCGATGGAGAATCCCTTTACTCCGTCAAGTGGTATAAGGATGGACACGAGATCTATCGCTATGTGCCCAGGGATAAGCCACCTGGACAGGCATTCCCATTGCCCGGCGTCAACATCGATGTGAGTACTATAACCCCACGTCAAAAAAAAAGAAAAGAAATAACAACAGGTGTTCCTCCAATGCGCAAAACCGAGAAAAATGTAATTTAAAATTTAATTGCAATTTACTGTGGAGCTGGAGAGGATGGTGGTTCCAAATTTACTGTTACGGCCTTATCATAATGATTATTTTCAAAGAGCATGTAATTGCCACAGCAGCAAGAGTAACAAGCAAACACTCGACACTCAAAAAAATTGCTTAAAATAAAAAATAATAAAAATCTGAAGAAGAGAAAAAATGATGGGAATTTTATAAATAGTTCCAAACTATACGAACATAATATTCTTTAAGTTAGAAAGTCTTCTTCTATTTCCTAGAAAGGTTTTCTAATACTAAAATTACATCTCTATTTTTAATTTTCAATATGGTTTTCAAATTCAAAAAGAAGTAAATCAAAATTAAATTAAACTTAAAGTTATTAAAATTAAAGTGACTTTACTCTATAGAATGCTTTGTCGAATTGCTTTCTGAATCAACCTTAGCCTCAACCATACAGCAATGTTCTAATATTAAAGTCTGATTTTTCGCTAAGTGTATTTTGAACATCTTGTTGCATAGTTGTTGCTGTTATTTTTGCGTGCTGATTACGTCGTCGCAAAATGAAATTGCTGCCACGTAGTTTTGCCATTTAACTTTAATTTAATGTTGATGTAATTTTTTGTTAGCCATAAAAATGTTTGCTGCCAACTCTGCATGTGTGTGTGCCGGGTTAGCTTAGGTCACGTTGCGGTCTGGGCTCTTAGACTGCGCTCTTTAACGTACATTGTACACGTCACTCAATTTCAATTGCGATTGAAAAGGTTACAACACGGCCATAATCACTTAAAGCTGCCAATCCTCAAGTTGAGGCCAGCACAGCCCCAACCACTCCACTCAACTGGATGGCTGACTGGCTAAACCGAACTCTAATAATAATAATAATAATTTGCTAAAGCACTTAAGTGCGTCTACTTTGAGTGTCGTTTTGTTGACAGCCAAGAAAAAAATGCAACAAAAAAAAAAAAAATGGCAATGGCAAAGACGAAGGCAAATAAAGCAAAGCCGACGCAATTGCCGTGCGGCTGACGCGGCGTATGAGCAATGCGAGCGCGACTTTTATAGCCTCTGTGTGCGTGTGTGCGAAGTCTGTCCAACAATCCGCGTCCAGCTCGTCCTTGTACTCCTTTCCCCCTCTGCTGTGCGTAATGTGTCGTCGTGAATGTCTGCATTTAGACATGAAAGAGTTGTGCTCAAGTTTGTGTTGTGTGTGTTGTGTGTGTGTGTGTGTGAGTGTGTGTGGAGGACCACGCAAAATTGTAACAGACATTTATGGTCGTGATTCGAACAAAAGGCAGTATTTCGTCGAAGGGCGGACGTTGAATCGCTCAAGTGACATAGATTGTGGTCGACTGTTTCGTTTAAGTGCTGCCAATTAATGGGTATATAAATGCATACGGGGCAGCCCGTTGTTGAAACATTCCACAATTAAGGGAGGAGGAGGGCAATGAAATTTAGAAAATCGGTAGTAAAAGAATGTTCTGGCTTTTAAATATAATTGGAAGGGCTTATTTCTATCCTTCTAAAAAATGGCATTTCTTCTTAATAAAAAAATATTTCCGTATGGTAGATAAGAAATTCAGAAAATAAATATGAAATTAAATTATATCGACTCAGAAACGAGACATCTTCCCTACTAGATTCTAAATTTGAAAAGGTCTTTAACAAAGTTTCTCAGTAGCTTATCTAGAAGGTCTGCTAAAATGTCTTTTATGAAGTCTTCTAGAAGCTCTTCCAGGCGGTCTTCCAGAAAGTCTTCGCTGTGTTCTAACAGTTCTTCTAGAAGGTCTTCTAAAAGATTAGGAGCATTTCTAGAAGTTCATTTATAAGGTCTTCTAGTAGGTCTCCTAGAAACAAGATTTGCTCTACTTAATATCATTTTAATTTTCTTCAAAGTGAGCAATATTTAATGCTGAAATATTTATCCTTCAACCAAGCGCATTTATCACTCTCGTTCTGCACCAGCACAGGGCGTATACGTAATCTCGCAACAGGTACTAGCCATTAGTAGTAGTTTGCTACCATTTTTATATATATTTTTAGCGTGAGTTGAGAATCGTGACTATTGAGCGCTTTGCTGAGCGGACAGAACTGTTAACTGCTGCTTGCTGGCAGCAGAGGAACGGGTTGATAATCATAATAAATTGTGTGAATTGCATTTTGCTGCAGCCATCATAAACAAAATGCCGCTCGCACGTAGCCCTGGCGATGGCAATATAAATGCGAGGGAAGACTCCCCCCTCCGCCGCACACCACTAACCCCTCCTTTGTACACTCTGCCTTGTCCCAACTACAACAAAAATTTGAATTGTGGCCAGTTTTGGTTCCGGGCTTTGGGCTTTGGTCTGAAAGTCGCCTAACCTGCCACGCTGACAACTTGGGCGCTCATAGAAATTGGCAAGCGGGAGCTGTATCCTGCCACCCCCACCCACCACAAGGGAAGGGAAGGAATCGGCTTAAGCACTCTCGAAAGAAGCAAACAAAAGCCAGTTCGTCGCAGTCATTGTAACGGGGTAATGCCACTAACCAGGGGAGGGGATGGTGGGTGGGAGTTGGGGGCTATGGAACAAGCAACAAACCAAAAATAATGTTGAACGTGACTTTTGTGATTGTTTGCACCAGCAGAAAGAGAGAAAGAAAGCAAAAGCAAAAGCAAAAGCTGAACTGGACTTGAAGCGGAGCCGGAGACGAACGAATTTTCATAAAAATTTGCTCGACAAGTTTTTCGGGTAGAAAGAAATGAAAACTTTGCCAAGCACTTTTCGGCTGCGTGTATGTGTGTTTGTGTATGTGAGTATGTGTATGTGTGTTTGTGTGTGTGTGTGTGATCATAAAACTGCAAGTTAAAGAACTTGACTGCAATTGTTTCTGGCAAAGATGTTGAGTGACTTTTACAACAGGCACTTCTGTTGCTCCTACAGCAACTCCACTTTTGTTGAGCTTACATTCTCATGCGTTCTGCAACGCTTACAGAGTTGCGTATGTATTGTCCCCAATCCCCTATTGCCAGCCCCTCCCCCTATCTGCCCTTCCCCACTTGAGTTGTGGATGAGAAATGTTACGATTGTTTCAAGATATTTCATTGCATGTTTTGGCTTTGGCTCTGACGCTGGCTTATGACTTGTACTTTTTTATATTTATTTTTTTGTTATTGTGCTTGCTCAAATTACTTTTGAGAGACGCCTCCAAGCTACCTCCATTCGCATCAAGCTGGTGCGTCCTTAAACTAATAATAAATACAATCAGCTTTGGTTACCTCCTCACAGCTACTTGCTTTTCTTTTTGTACCAACACAAAAATCATCATCAATCTTAATTTTTCACTCAAAATAGGAAAGCGAATTTCGGCACAAATCTCAAACGAGTGCAAAATGTGAAAATCTGTGAAATCTAATTGCCTTCATTGTGTGGCCAGCAAGCAAAGACTGCCGACTGCCGACTGCTGACTGTCGAGTCATCGCGTCGTCATTTATTTGAATTTCGAATTTATTTAACAAACATTTCTAACGCACGCCCTCTCTCTCTCTCTCTCTCTCTCTCGACCTCTAATAGCTGCGCAATTCCTCGGACACACAGGTAATGCTGCGACGTGTAACGCTCCAAAGTTCGGGACTCTATCGATGCGAGGTGTCCGGCGAGGCGCCCGCCTTCAATACCGTCTCCGAGTCGGAAACAATGACCGTAGTGGGTAAGTCAAAAGATCTTAATGAAATAAAAAAAAAAAGTGCAATAAGTGACTGTTCCCTCCCCTTCCCCCATCCCATGTGAAGAGGTGTGCAAAAATTTAATTAAAATGCTAATAGTCCCAAACAGCAGTCAACAATGTTGTCGATTGACAGACAGCTTCAAGTGGGCAACAGATCAGTGAGCATGTGCAACATAATTGCCAGTTGCAAAAATAAAAGAAACAAGACAAATTCGACAGGAGCTTCGACAGAAAGCCAACAAAAAGTGGATAGCCAGAGTTAGAAAGAGATTTACGCATAGCTTTTAAATGAATACTCAGAAAAAAGTCCTATGTGGGTTTTAAAGACGTTCAGAAATGATTTTTTTTTTAAGAATAAGGCTTTGCATTTGTGCATTTTGGAAATATATTTCTTAGTAATATGAAATATTTTATTATTATTTATTTTATTTCTAATTTGTGGAAAAAAGTAATCTTATATGCAGAAATTATTTCGAAAAACAAGAAGAACTTGTTAGTATTCTAGGCGATATTCTGAAATTCAGTTCGATTTGTATTATCTGAGTGTGGGGTTCATTTGTAAGTGCTTGAACTGAAGCAACACTTTAGACTATGCTTAAAGCACAATTTCTGTTTTTTTTTTGTTGTATTTTACAAGAAAGCATACTTGCAGCAGAGCTGAGACCTTGCAACTTGTCGTCCCCGAGCATAATGCAATTCATGCCTTGCTGCTGCTTCTGCTGCCACTGCTGCCTTGGCCTCAGTCTTAGTTTCTGGTTGACTTAAAGCCTTTAGCTTTCTTAGGCTGGATGGGTGGCAACCCTGGCTTCATTCCCATGTCTCTATTTTTTTGCTTAATACAACTGCATAATCTAAGCAAACAATTGAAATGGAATTTTTGCAGTCGCCGCCGCAGTCGCCAGAACAAAAGCCGCCAGCTTTTCAGGCACACTCCCATGTGTGTAGGTGTGTGCGTGAGTGTGTGTGTGTGTGTAGGTGTGTACGTATGTGTGTGTAGATAAAAGCGTTCGCTTGTAATTGAAAGTGTGTGGGCGTGGCTGGTGCTGCTGCAACTGTCATTGCAATTTGAAGTAAAATTATGTTTTCATGTCGTGCGATTTAGTTGAGTAAAAAATCCAGGAAAAATGGGTTAAAACAACGCGCCATCTGTCAGAGGGCTGAGACTGGCAAAAAAAAGTGTTGCCTTTTGTCTTATGTGGCATGCCGGAAACGAAAGAGCACTTGGGCAACGTGGCATTTCATTTACATATGCAAAGTGCTTGGTTGTTGGTTGTTGGTGGGGCAAGAGCCACCGCAACAGCAACAGTGTTTTATTGGAATTTGCGCCACGCAACCACAGCGTAAGCAACTCACTCAGAAACCACACAGCCAGCCAGCTAGCAAATCATAAATTTATAAACTCATACAAAATCAAACAGTTATCAATATGTGCAGCAACAGTCAACCACAAGCGCAGCCGCAGCCGCAGCCGCAGCCAGAGCGTCAGAGTTAGCCATCGAGTGCCTCAGGGAGGCAACATCATCAACATCATCCTCAGCATCAATATTACACTCGGAAAAACCGTCCTGAATTTTCGAAAAAAAAAACTAATTTAAATTTCAAAATAAAACACACTTTTTCATATTGTTGTGTAGAGCGATATTGGTGGACATTAAATAAATGTATATTAGAGTTTAGCTGAGGTTTTTTTCTTCTACATTTTAGAAAAATGTGTACTGAAATTATGAAAAGAAAAACTCGAGTTTTTAGATATATACTTTCTGAATAATAAGCTGAGTTACTCTTGGCAAGTTTCAAATATTCAGTACTAGTGTTTTTTGTGAGTGTATCATCAACGCCCACAGTAAGCGCATTTCATGCTGATTTGGCAGCCTTTGGCCATTGCTCATGCTCTTCGTATATAAGCGATTTCCCCTAACAACCCCTAAGAACAACGAACAACGGACTCAGACGCATTGGAATGTGTTGCGGAAATGGTTTTGCATATTAAACAATGTCCTCGGCTGCCAATTGGGCGACATTCGACTCGATGGAGCAAAAAAAGCCTGACAGTCCCACGGTCCCCACAGTGCCCAAAGAGCTGTGTGTACTTACATGTGTGTGTGTGTGTGTGTGTGTGTGTGTGTAATCGAACCAAAAAAAGGGGGCAACTCATCATCAACAACTACGCCAGCATCATCAGCCTCAGCAGCATCATCATCATTCTTCTCAGAGTCTTCAGAGTCCTCCATCCAAACAAAATTTCTCATGACTGCCTCTGCTGCCTCAGCTGCCATTGCCACAGACCCTGCTGCTGTTGCTGTTGCAAGTGAGCCATAAAAAATGCTTTAGTGCGTTTGCTTCGAGTATCCAAATTACGCAGACAAGGCGAAAAATCGCACAATGGGTCAGGAACATCAAGTCATCTTAAGCACACTAACAAATCAAAACTATTATTTTGAATTCTTAAGTAATATTTGTTCATGAATTGAATTTGAGAACCAGACGTGATTTCTAACATAATTCCTAATTTAAGCTCGAATAAACCATATTCCATTCTGAGTAACAGTAATTTAAATCTGAATAATATAACTACTACGACTTATTTGAACTTCTATTTGATATCATTCTTACTTTGAGCTCAAAGGAAACTTTTTCTCATATTAGTTTAACACTTTTCCGTTCAGGAGATTCTTCAAAGATTATATTCAAGCCCCTTAATTATTTAAAGCACAAAACTTGCCTCTAAATTTTCACGTATATGGAAAATGCACCTTATATATAATTGGAATTTTAAATCAGAATTTCTCAGAAGATTAAATCTTTTCTTATATTAGTTTAACAATCTTCCATTCCTGGCGTTAATGGAGTAGACAGTTAATAAAAGTCTTTGAATTCACAACTCTTTTCTCTTAAGCTTCTCGCAGTTCAATAGATAACATTGAGAAGTGCAACTACAATATAATTGGAATTTTATATCGGCATCTCTCTATGACATTTATTCGCCCCCATGGTAAGCCAGCCAGTGCCAGCGGGGTTTCTCTTCTTTCTTACCAATTGAAATTTACATTTTGCTGGTGAACCCCCAAAACCCTTCAATCCCCCCTCTCGCCTCGTGTTCTGCATGAGTAGTTGCCTGGGCTGCGGTCAAAATGTGTCGCGCTCTCAGCCTTTTGCTCTCTCCCAGCTGTGGCAAGCATTACTCATACGCCGCATTGGACAGGACGACTGCTGTGCAGTGCTCTGCCACGAAAACAACTTAAAGGCAACAGTGAAAATCGCGACGGTTTTTGTTATTGCAGTTGCTGTTGTTGTTGTATCCATATTCAGCGCACTCAGCAGCAACAGGAGCAGCAGGACACGTCTCGCTCCCCGAGCGACCCTTCAATATTTGTTATCTTTGCTTTTACATATGGCAACGATTTTTAATGCACGATGCGCTGCTCTGCGCCGCTGCCATCGTTGAGGGCATGTTTGAGTTAAGAAAACATTACTGTAACTAGTAACCAGTAACCAGTAACCAGTTACACTGCAACAGCTACACTGTAACTGTTATTCATTCATTGCTGGGGGTCCTTGTCGAAGTCGTTGTCTGTCTCGGTCTCTGCTTGTGTATCCTGGGCACAGAAATAAAAGTAAAGCGCGTTGTTTTATAATTAATGAGCTCGCAAAGGCGCATATGTCCTTCCCCCTACCTTCTCCTCCCCCCCTGCCCCGTTGTGTGTGTGAATTTATGGTTAAGTGCACTTTAAAGGACAAACATACATATAACTCACCCTGCTGCTGCTGCTGCCTGCCTGCCTGCCTGTCTGCCTCTCTGCTGCCTGCTGAGTTACTTCATTCCATGCATGCACACATAATGTGATCGCTTATCGATTTTACAATATAAAAAGCAATTGCCCGCATAAGGGTTCGCCACGCCCCCCTCGTCGCCCTCATCAGTGGCACACCCATTACCCCCACCCTTTGTGTAGGCCAGGCAAAACATAATAAAAAATTAAATGTAATTTTTATGAGCTTTGAGTAGCCACGCTGCAAACTACAAGATATTTATGGCAGCTCCCACTCCCCCTAACCCAAGAATATGTTCTTGCTAATGAGCTGTAAATTTGAAAAGTTACAGTTAAAAGGTCATTTGAAATTAAAGTGACGACTGAATATCGATTTAAAACTCGGCCACTTAGTTTTAATTAAAAATTCTTCGTTTTCATCTTTGACATTTCTTGCAATCACATTGCATGCAATTTTTAAATTATGTTAAATAAAACAAAGTCCTTAAGTCTCTTAAATATGGTGATCAGTTAAGCTTCTTTTTTTTTTAAGTTGTCCAATCATATTAAATGCAATTCTTAAAGTAAATTGAATAATGCCAAGCAGCTGATTTTTAATTGTCTACAATTGCTATTCATAAGTCTCTCAGTTCTCAGTCCTCAACTCTTTTAAATATTTTGCAAATGCAATTAATAAAATTAAGCATACAATTTAATTTTACTTTCTCATTTCTCAAATGAAATCTTTTCTCATATTAGGCGAACAATCTTCCCTTCTTGGTTTTAATGTAGGAAATTATTTTTTTAAATCTTAAAACTTTTTTTAAAGCATCCCGTTTATCAATGAAAATTATTGCAAAATGCAATAATAATTGGAATTCTATAACGGCATCTCTCTTTGATATACTGAAGTGCCCAATTCTTGATTTTCCTCAACTCTCCAAAGTATCGGTTATTTCAAGTCTTCAACTCTCTTAAAACTTATGCACAAAACAGTCAATCAATGATTTTCTGTGGTTTCGTTTACATCAAATATATATTTTTACATTGGCGCATAAATCTCAAATATTTACAAGTTATTTATGCACACATTTCAAAGTAACTACATATTTTGCAAATTGAACTTAAGCTTAATTTATTGACATACTTAAATAACATTTTATTTTTAAATGTGAAATATAAAACAATAAAGCAAACACTTGAATTGCAATTTTGCCTCATATTTCAGGGTTGCAAATATTTATTAAAATTTTCGAGAAGCACTTAGAGGCAGATATCAACGCACAACATGTGCATAATCCACATACTCACGCACTCCACACGTTGACTTTGCATATAGATCAAGTTGCTGCTGGCAGTCCAATTGAAGTTACACCCCAAAACTCCCTCAACCCCTGACCCAGCTTATCGCCTTCTGCAAGGTGCGCTTACCAAAATAATAAGACGAAAATGGAGGAGCACAAAAGCAAAATAAATAGAATAAGGGAAGAACATACCGCAGCATATTAAAAGGCATCCCCCAGCTGTGTTGACTAGATGCGCTGCTTGATAGAACTCCCCTTCCCTCCCTAGCCCCTCCACATTGCCACTTAAAAGGCTCCGTGGAAGTAGTAGTTGTTTTTGTTGGCTTGGTCTACAGCATTTGCTGGCCTGAAGGCAGCTGCACTTGCAAAAATTGCCCTTAATTTTGAAAATTCTGCAAATTGATGGCGTTAAGGTTAACTTATCTTATTATTATCTTATCATTTGAAAACTCCAACTTTTCCTTTCTTAATTTCAGAGTATATTTTTGTAAAATATAAAACAAATATGTCCCCCTTTTAGCAACTCTAATTTAGAGAAATTTTCTACATATCAGGTAGACTTTTTTTCTGAGTGTTGGCTGCTGCTGCTGCTTTTCACCTTAATGCCAGAATTGTCGTAGCGTTTTGGCCATTTTTTGTCGTGCTGCACAAAAGGCAACAAACGAGCAGCCAAAATGCGATCCGAAAAAAGAGGGAAACCAAATAACCGTACCGAAAACTGCTTAGTCATAGGAAAATGCTTGAAATATACTTGAGCCATGTTCCATGGTCGCCACTCGCCGACTTATTGCAGCTTGCCTGCCCTGGCTGGTGACTATGGGTTCTTTCGTCCTTCGTTCTTGGTCCTTGGTCCTTGGTTCTCCTTTGTTCTCGTCCTGCGCCTGCTTCTGATTCTACCCCTGTTTCTCTGCCGCAGGTCCGAAAAATGTTGTTGCTTTTGGTGTTGCCATTGCGTGCTAAGTTTTTGCCAGAATAAATTGCAAACACACCCATAAGTGTTTGTGTGTGTGTGTGTGTGTGTATGTATTGTGTGGTGTGTGTGCTACGGGGCGCCTTTAGATTTATGCGACAAATAAAACTAAAGTGCGACAATATGGCGTTGGCTTAAAAAATAGCCATATAATATGAAAACAATTATCAGTTAGCTGCCTGGAGGTGTGTGAAAAAGGTCTTTGATCTTAACTGCCGGGCAGTCGACCATGACAAAGTGGGTGTGTGTGTTCGTGTGTGTGTGTGAAAAATACGAGGAGTAATTGTTTCTTCAATTGAGGCAAATATGTAAGGAACAAATTATAAGTTATGCTTGAAGATGAAGAAATTAACACGGGACTATTTTCATTCTATATTCCATTGAAAACTATAAATTATATAGTTTAGTATTCATTAAGAAGAAATAAATGGCTGAATATTACAATGACATGACAAACTCATAAATATACAGTTTCTATCTGTATATAGTTTAAGTCGTACTTGCCTTGCAACAATATATATTTACGTACATAGTTAATTGCTTGAACTTAATGGCTGAGCTTTAAATAAATGAAATAGTAAACAATAGACTATTATAATTCTTTCTTGCATCACAAACTAGTTGATACCTCTCTTGAATTGATTGCCTTGCTGCAATATTTATTTTTGTACATAGCCAATTACTTTTCTGCCTCGGATGTTCAATATAATTGCCTCAAAAATCGATATGCAAAGCAATAATTGCAAGTTGTTTGCAGTAAAATCATAATTCATATGCTCCTATTTGTGATTTCAATTGCTGTTGGCCGCAGTCGCAAGGGATTGCATTTCAAAACTTGGCTTATCAGTTACAGATGTCTGTATTGTGCCCATTTGGAATCAATTTTCTCTTAATTCAATTTGTACAGTTTTGTTTTTCTTTTTTGTTTTTGCAAAATGCAACCGAAGTCAAATGTAAATGCAATTTACAAGGCAAATGCAATTGCCAACCGTTTAATATATACGCATTTATGCAGTGCACCCCAACCTCATCTATCTATATGCCTGCTCAGATTTTATGAAGCTTCGTATTATCCATGCGCTCCCACATAAGAGGCAGCTGCACTAAATTAAATTCTGCCAAAAAAAGGAGAAAAAAAGAGAGAGCAACCCAAGTGAATTAAAGTAAACTTCACTTTATAAATTACAAATAAGCATGGGAGAACCCTGAGCCTTGTTTTGACCTACAACTGGAACTGAATACATATCCTACACAGAACCGGGACTGGACCTGCTCCTGCTCCTGCTCCTGCTACTGATTTTGATTTTGAGTCTGGTTTGTGCCCGGCCAGTGGCGAAGCCACAACAAGAACTCCGACAGCTTCTAAAGAAAATTAATATTTTTTTCTTCTGCAAAACCATTAAAAATTTATTTTATTTTATGGTAGAAAACACACACATACAGACACAAACACACATACTCGTATATGAAGGGGGCAAATGTTATGAAAATTGTGAGGCTGTGCAAAAATGAAACAAGAAATTCTACTCCAGTATTTATGCCAGCATGTGGGTGTGCGAGTGTGTGTGCGAGTGTGTGTGCTTTGCTTTTGGCATGATATATTTATAATGCATACAAACACTCGACTGCGTCTCGGCTGTTTCACAGTGGGCGTTAACTGGACGCCGGGGGGCGCCACACTTGACTTGATTCCTTTCTTTACCATTTTGGCTCATTCGTGTTGGATTTTTCTTTTCAGTTTTATTTTTTTTCATATGCCCAAAAGCGCTAAGCAATGGCCAAGTGGTTGGTGGGCGTGTTACACCATAGCCATGGCCATATCCAGATGCCTTAACAACAACACCAAACACGCCCCTCACATACTACTACAACCACACACACTCGCACACACACGCTTAAATAAACTTTGAATAAGCATTTCGTATGCGTATATATATAAAATAGAGCTCGCCGCTGTGGGTCTGTGCTTGCCGTGTTTTTGTATTTTACTGGCACAAATCTCAACATAAATCTTAAGTATGAACCCCCTCTACTAACCTGCTCAAGATACTCCGCACACACATGGCTTTCATTATGGCACAAACGTAAAGCAAATAATACAGCAAAAGGAGCAAAAGCAGCAACTGGCATCTGGCTGCGAACTTCGAATTCAACTTGCCAAAGCTGGGCAAGAACAACGAAATATTCAATTTGCTTGGCTCATTAAAATTAAATAACTGTGCTTGGAGCACCCACACCCACACACACTCGCACACACATACACAAGACTGATAGTAATGTGTCCGTTAAAAATGGGGCTGAATGCACATTGTCCTGTTCCCCTTCATTGGTGGCCACAATGGACTTCATAATGTGGAAAAATAAATATTAAGTATTCTAATTATACAGCTTGTCTTCATTAAATTACAAACTAGGTCAGAGTTACACCCCATTATCGAAGCAGTAACCATTAACTGCCTCACAGCACTCAGAAAAAAATCGGCTTGAAACTAGAAAGTTGTATTTTGTTTTTAAAAGTAATTGATAACGAAAAATTATATAAAAATGTCCTTTTTTTTTTAAATATACTTTCTGATTACATTGACTACATATATGAAAATTATAGAGATTTTGTCAGTGCGATTTCGTTGCTTACTGTGTACCTATTAATTATTATTTAGTTAACAGCAGTATTTATTGTCTGGCCTCACTGTCAACGCTTATTGTCAATTGACAACGAAAAGTGAACAACCTACTTAGCTATGTGGGTAATTACAGCTAAATGCCTTTTGATGTGCCCTTCTTGAATATGCAAGAGTCTCTTTCAATTACGAACAAAAACTAAATCAATATTCTACTGCTGTTACAGTGACTCCAAATCATGGCCCAAAGATATCCGGCGGGCAGCCACGCTATCAAATCGGGGACACTGTGCGAGTGAACTGCACCTCGGCACCTTCGAAGCCAGTTTGTCATCTGAGCTGGCTCATCAATGGGGAGCCGGCACAGAAACAGCATCTGAAGCAGTTCGACAAGATTGTCGTCAATCGGGATGGACTCGAGATGGCTCGACTCGGCTTGGAGTTTCGAGTGCGTGGCTTTCACTTCAGGCATGGCGATATGAAACTCAAGGTGAGTGAGCCACAAATCTCAGCTCTGATTGACTCTGATTGATATTGTTTCTTTCCTTTAGTGTGTGGCCAAGATTAGCTCACTCTACTGGCAGAGCAACGAGGAGAGCGTGGAGAGTGATCGCCAGCAGCGGGCACCTGCTTTGGAGTCGCGTGAAACAGTCGCTGCCAAGTCCAGCACAATTGGTAACCATTCAGGGAATTTGAGGGGAGTTGGATCATCATCATTTGGCTAATCAATTCTCATCATTCCCCTTACAGGTGCCGCTGCCTCGAGGCAACCATCGTTGCTACTTTCACTGCTGCTGCTTTGTGGCATCGCCGGCTCCTGGAGTTGGCCACCTTTGGGATCTGGAAGTTAACTGCCCAAATTGCAGATTCCTTCACTAAAATTAGCAGCTATCGCCGGATGTCGTCATATCTGAGAAATTACAGTGTAAAAGCAAAACATATCCTATGCCAAATTTCATAGAAAAATCTACATACACTTTACTTACGACTACATTGCGCTAACATTAAAAGTAAAAATGAAGAAAAACTTTAAGCATTTAATTCAATTGATGTGTTTGACAAAATAAGTAAAATGGAAATTCTTTCAAAATTAAAAAAAAAGTATACATACATATAAAAAATCAGATACTAGAACTACTTGTGTAACTAGTCACGAGGCAAAAACTACTCAACTTAAGCATTTAAGTACAATTTAAGAATTTGTAAATATTAAGTGTTAAAAGTAAGCGCGCAAAAAAATGGCAAAATTGTTTAAAAAAAATAAATGAAATATCATAATGAAAATATAATTTTCATTTAGTGTAAAGATAAGTCCATTAGTTCAAGTTGAATTAGAAGAATCAAGAAAAAGATCTGTAATATAAATTTGTTTTTCAATTATTATTCAAATCGAGTTCGTCTCGACTTAGAAATTTTCTATGATTTCCCAAAAATGAATCGACTTTGATCCTATTTTTCAAGATTGTATAATTTAAAAACTCGCTGTATTTATAAACAATCTCGTAGTATTTTCAACTGCATTTCGCGCATATCAAATTTTTAACATTTCAATTGTATAAAATGCACCTTCGATACATATTTAAAACACTTAAAAAATAATTAAACCTATTAGACTAAGAAGCACCTAAATGCATAGTCACATTAGCATTTAAGACGAGAATTGTAAAGCCAGCCCATTTAGAAAACACCTTTGTCAGAAAATCGAAGCTATGTTGAAAGCAGATAAGATGCCGCAAACAAAAGCTGTAAATAGCAAAATTAATTAAACTGCTGAGCATCTTGCAAAGATGTCATCTTTATAATGTGAAAATCCGTTTAAAGAACTAAATGTGGTAGTCAACTAATGCCAAGCTGTGGAAGCGACTACCATTTCAAGCGAGGAACTTAGCATTTCTCATTTTAATTATTAAAGTCATACTTTGTGCTCTATAAATATATTTTCTATTAGTGTAATTGAATAGAGAGGGACTGAGAAGTGTTAAGAAGTTGTTGAAGTTGTTAATTGCGGCTCTAATGTATAAAGATTTTGTCTATTTGAAAACAGTTCAGTCTTCTACTGCCATAATAGCTGCAAATATATTTAAATATGTATTTTTGAAGGGCTAAAAGTATTGCTAACAATTTGGAATGAGTTGAACGCAATGTAAAAATTGATATAATAAAAATACAATATTGCATATAGAAAGGGGCAGTAATTTCCATAGAATCTTTGGATCAGAATCAAGTCAAATCTTCGACATTGGACAGAATATTGGAGAGTTCTAGAAAATATTGTCGAACTTTGATTTCTAGAAAAGCATTTTAAGCATTTTGGACATTCCTGCCCACAGTTCACCCTTGGGAGGACTTTTACTTCTGGTGGCTATTTTTGAAGATTAGATTAGAAGTTTTACGACAACCAGAAAATCTGTGAATAATACTTTTGACGAAGTGAGCTACATCTGATATAAAACTGATGTGTAAGCTAAGAATTGTAAGTGTGACTCAGCTAGTTATGTCTAAAAACAAAACAAAACATAAATAATTTATTTTATTTTGAGTTACACATGCCGCAAAGATAACAATCATTGGCTTATGCTAATTTTGTTAGGCTGAGTCACAAAGAAATGTCACAAACAAGTCGTATCCACACCCAGTTCAACAATTGGTAGCAGCAAGGGAGACATAGCCCAAAAATGGAAGCACACGAGAGGTGTGTGTGCAACAAGCCGCAGAGAGGTATGCAACTCCAAGACAAGGCAAACAAAGGAAATGAGAACAAGTCCAAAACTGACTCTCAAGGCTTAAATGTTAGCATGCCGCAGGCAGCTGCAACTGAGGCAGCCCATTTACAGTTCTTGCCACTGGGGGACACAAGCAGAGCCAATTTGCATACAAAGGCCCTTCGATTGAGGCCAAGTGGCACAGCTGCTGGCAGAGCGTACTCTTTTTGGCCTGCCTCAAGATATTATTTTTTTTTTATTTTGCTATTTGCCGTCCAAAACTGCAGCTTGGCATTCTTTGATTGATATTTAATATTTGATAAACTTCTAATGTTAAAAAAAACTAGCCAAATAACAAACGAAAACATAAAAACAAAACAAATAATTTCTTGTAAATACGCAAAATGTGAACGCAAATCGTTAGAGTTCGCTTAGAGTTTAAGTACTACTCAGAAAACTGGTCGAGCAGTTTTCCAAACAAATATTCTCCATTAAATCTAAGCTAAACTTGTGCGTGTTGTAAATGAATAAATTAATAAACAATTAAGAGCAGCCAGCGGCAGACTAAAACTAAATACACTTTCTCAATGTATTTTTTTCTCGGACTTATCTGTTTTGTTTGAATTAATTTTGTATAAGCGGCAAGCGAATGTTTCAAACTAGTTTGTAAAATGTGAGCAAGAAATAAAACGGAACGAGTAAAACAATACAATGCATTAAATCAAAGTATTTTCTTGCCAACGCATTTCCGGTTAACTGCAAGCCATCTCCGGTTGCCGTTCCACCAATTTTTTTTTTTTTTTGGACGTGCTTTGAAAATATAATTTGAAAGGAAATCAACACAATTGCCTTTGGCCACAAATACTCGCATTTAATGAAATGTTGCAGATAAAAACAGAGACACACAGAAAATAGCAAAGCCAAAGAGGAAATTACCAGCTCAAAGCATAATTGGCAAATACTGAAAACAATTAGATTGTGTGCAAATCTGGAACATGAAAGCCATTATCTGTTTTGCGTTGAGCAGAAAACAACATTTTTCTAAGTCAGCAGCTGGAGTTGACCATTAAAATTGCAATGACTCATTTGCTCACCGGCAGACGGCGACTCATTCAATTTTCGTTGTAGTCATAAATTAAAACGTCACCACAATTAAAGTGCACACCCACACATCCTCACACAGACACACACACACACACATATATCTTGATTGATTAGAGGGGAGGGAGACAGGAAACGCGACCAGAGCGCGTTCTGCATTTCCGTTGGTTATTCATGGCCAAAAGGCAGGAGTCGTGCATGCGATGCAGTCATAAAGCAAATTGCACTGCAGTAAAAATAATAGTGGAATGCTGTGAGTGGAGTGGACTCGACTAGGTGACACCCTGCAGCCAGGTGTTCAATATATATTCTAGCTTTTTGCACGCTCAAATGTAAGCATGCGTGGAAGTGCTTTCATTTCTTTTGCCAGCACCGGTATTGAAGATTATAACAATTGAAAATGTTGTTGTCAATTTAGTCGACTTGGATATTCCCTGCAGCCAGATGTCCAATACATATTCTAGATTTATTGCGAAGAAGAAATTTAAAATTGTTTAAAACTTAAATACCAGAATTTAATTATTTTTACCGAAAAGACAGTATGGAAGCCAAAACATTGTAGGGGAATAACACAATCGCCGATGCCATTATTGAGATTTATGAAAATGTATGTGCCTTGCTTCAAGCTGATATACGATAATTTATATTCCAAATTTGAAGTTTTTGTCTCTTACATGGATATATCGACTCGTTTGTTATTGCACATCAAGAGTATACACACATCATGGGGTCGGAGATACTTCTTTCTGTCTGTTACATACTTTGCCACAAAATCATTATACCCTTTTTACGCATTTTAATGGGTTCAGGGTATAAAATAACATCAGTAACAGCAGCAACAACAACAACAACAGTTGCTTATAGTTTAGGCAATATGTGTGTAGTTATTTTATCACCTTCTCCACACTAATCCGCCACAAAACGCCCCACACATAGTCCCTACAGGACTCACTCCACTGATTGTGGCTTGTGGGCCAAATTATTTTTTGCCATTGATGCTGAAAATTGTGCCCAGTAATGCAGAATGCATAAAATTCAACAATAAATTTTAGTAAGCAGAAAAAAAGAAGCAAACAAAAGTGTTGCCCACTTTTCAGCAGCGCACTGAATAATTTATGAATTAATTTTTGGAGCGCATTATTACGCTGCATCTATTCGATTGCAATTTAGTTAATCAATTTCATTGAATTTCACAGACCAGCAAAAACTGCTGACACGCGGGAAAAGCAACCGAATTAAAGGCTGGAAAATAAGCATTGCCCATTCTTTATCAAATTTACGCTTATTGCATTTTAATTAATTATAAACAGGTAATTATGTTAAACAGGCTACGCACACATTTAAGCACTTAAATGTATATTTTCCTCGCAATTATCTGCTGCGTTCAATAATATACACATGCATATATGTAAATTTGATTGTGGCCAACTGAACCATTGCAACTATTTGTGAGGCATAAAATTAACAAATTAAAGCTGTTTCCCGGTCCGTAAAGTTGCCTAAATGTTTCCGTCTTAAAATGCCGTCGTATGTGTCAACAATGTGCGAAAACTCATTTCCGACCTCCAATCAACCGCAACGAAAAACGCTCTATGCAACCAACAATTGTTTGAACATTTTTACGTTTCAATATTTTGAATATGTCTATAAGTATATCTTTCTCCATCTTTCCGATTTTGTATTTGCTGCATTTGGGCTTTTAAATATCCATTTAAGTTCATGTAAATCGTAATTGTAGTAAAAAAAATGTTTAAACAGTTTTACTCTTCAATTGCAATGGCAACTATTTAACTAAATTATTGTTGCTGCTTTTGACTTTAAATAACTATTTTTTCTCCGTATTTTATAAATAATGTGGGACATTTAAATACATATTTTGATATTTTCAAATATACTAGCTTGCACTAGTTTGAATATACTTCAATCTTTCCTAATAATTGAACTGAAGTAATTCTCATTTGCCAAACACACATTCGGAGTTGTAGTCAGAAAATGCGCTACCACAAAGCTCGTTACAAATATTATCATTTTTTTGTCATTTGATTCTGTTGTAACTATGACAACGGGCTAAACATAAATTTCAATTAACATGAATTTGATGGCAGCGTTGGCAAAGTTGGCCAACAAGCGCAGCGACCGTTTTCAATTATTGTCTGTTGGGAATGTTTTGATTACATTTTTGTGTATAATGCACTCGAGTGCTGGACTTTAAGGACTTAAAGCACACACATGGGTGTAAGTACGTA